TCATTTCCCTTTGGGGTTGCTGTAGGTGATCTGGAAGTCTGGTTTTGAGACTTATTTACATGTTTTATCATTTCGACTGGGGCAGGGGGCTGTTGGCACCTGCAGGGATTACCTCCTCTTAGCTGGGAGAGGTGGGACAGGGGCCAGTTGCGGCGGTAGAGATGGTGGCCCAAAAGCCCTTTCCTGTGGACTGTGATCAGCAGGAGGGATGGTGGCCAGGATGCCCCTTCCTCCGGACCAGGAGCAGTGGGATGTCGGCTCAGGAGCCCCTACCTCTGGGCCGGGAGTGGTAGGAGGGATGGTGACCTGGGAGCCCCTTCCTCTGGGCCAGGAGCAGCAGGACAGAAGGTGGCCCAAAAGCCCTTTCCTCTTGGCTGAGAGCAGCAGGAGGCATAGTGACCGGCATGGCCCTTCCTCTGGACCAGGCCCAGTGGAAAGTTGGCTCAGAAGCCCCTACCTCTTGGCCAAGAGCAGCGGGACTCAGTACCATGGTCTGATGGTCTGGTGTCCTCTCCATCTTTGTAGTGCAGAACCAGGTGGCTGCCTGTCTGCAGCGGGGTAATTCGGTGTCTTCTGCATGACTCGGGGACCTTGGTAGGGTGTGCACAGTGCGAAACCACTGAGCCAAATCCCCAGCCCCAAATAGATCTTAATGTATCAAAATAGCTAAAAAAACCCCCAACCACTTGTGTAACTTAACCACATGTGTAACTTATCAACAGATCTTCAACCACAGGTGTGACCATTAATTGTGGTTCATGAATTCAACTGGAGAAAAAAGGACTAGTAGGTTAGTAAAGCATGGTTCTGACTGTTCTTCTTGGGTGATTCCAAAAGCGACTGGTATATATGACAACGAACTAATGGGGAAAGTTCCTGCCTGCTCAGCAATCAATAGGCTTGTACCCTGATTGATATTTAAAAGGGGAAAGATGAAAAAAAGTACACCTATTTTTAAAAAGCTTCACTCTGCCTAAGCAAGGAATCATTTCTCTGACATTACCTTAGGACACTGGTCTCCAGTTCTTCAGTCTTCAAATGTTGACTCCCCAGTGATCTTGAATTGGCATTATTGGTTCCTTGATCCTTCCTTTTTCAGTGGCTTCCATCTTCTGGAGCTAAGCAGATGTTGGATCCTCTGGCTTTCCAGCATGCAGATGACCACTCCAGACACTCCTGCATTGGATCTTGTAAGCTGACTGAATACATCTTCTTTCATAATTATACTTATATTATCTGTTAATGCTATTTCTCTAGAGAACTCTCTTCGATAAAATGGGGGTAAGATACTGTAACAAATGTTATTTTGAAAACCAGATATCTCCATGCAAAGAATTAAAATGGGAACTCCTGTTTCAACACACGCACACACCCATATGGAAAAAATAACTCAAAATAGATTTGAGGCTTAAACAGAAGACCTGAAACTATAAAATACCTAAATAAGAACACAGGGGAAAGCTTCACTGTATTGGTCTCATAAATAATTTATTGGACATGATACCAAAATCTCAGGCATCAGAATAAAAACAGATAAGTACAAATTCATCAAGTAATAAATTAGCTATGTATCAAATCAATAACACTGTGAAAAGAAAATGTGAGAAAATATGTGTAAAATATATATCACCTAAGGGGTTAAAATCCAACCTATATAGATGATTCCCTCGCTTCAACAGAAAACAATAACAAAATGAAATGAATTAATTAAAATTTGGCAGATTATTTGAAAATATATTTCATCTAAGAAGATATACATGTGCCCCAAAGCTACATGACAGTAAGTTCAGCATCTCTATTCAGAAGCATGTTGATCAAACTTCAAGGAGATATCATCTCATATCTCTTTGGATGGCTATTATAAAAGGAGACATAGATGCAGACAGGGAGGAGAGAGAGACATTGTGACAGAGACAGAGAGACAAAGAGACAGAATAAAAGATATTTTGTTGTAATGTTAGAATACTTTTACAGTGTTGGGGACAAAATAATTTCAGACTCGATTAAAATGAGTTTTGTTTATGGAAAACAAAAATTAAAGGTGGGATAATCATATCATCTACTAATCTCACCTCTGAGTGTTTATCTAAAAGACTTGAAATCAAGGTCTCAAAAATATTTGTGTTCCTGTTTCTTGCAATATTATGTGTGATATCTAATATGTGAAAACAACTAAACACCTATTATTACATGAGTAATTTTAAAGATAGCATATGCATAGAATACAGTATCATTCAGCCTAATGTTCTTATTACTACACATTTATTTCCTGTTGGGCCAGGGATTTAGCTCAGTGGTTCCAGTGCCTGCCTCACAAGCGCAAGGTCCCAAGTTTGATCCCTGGTACCAAAAAACCCCCCAAAAAACCAACAACATTTATTTCCTGTATTGTATCCACTTGTGTGGTAGGAAAAATATACCAATCTATGGCCTTCTGGTTGTTGCCTACAGACTCACACTGCCCTTGTTATTTTTGGCAGTTAGTGAAACTTTTAACTTGTGAGGCCTATGTAGAAGAATTAATGTGACTAGGATCATTGACTTGAAGGGAATAATGGGAACCAAAGAACTTTCTCTTTTGCTTTTTGTTCAGGGGAAAACATGAAATGCGCTGCTTTTTCTGCCAGGTATTCCCTGCCATACTCTGCTGCACTCCCACAGGACTGCAGGCAATGGAATATGATCACTATGCACTGAAACCTATAGCACTCTGAGCCAAAATAGAAGTGTTTCACTAGTCATTCACTTCCTTAAGTAATTTGTTACAGTAATGCAAAAGTGACTAATACAGAAAACTGTTACATTGAATGGTGTCCTTGTTGTGAATATACATGATAATATGATTCAAAAGATTTTGGAACTGGCATTTTGGAGGGTTTTGGGAAAATTTGTGAAGTAGGTAGACAAAGGTCAAGAATATTATAAGAAAAGCTTATTGATTGATTCAAATTTGATCTCAGAATACCAGAGTACTGAAAAAGAATGTGGACAGTAAAGATTATACTCTGGTTTAGAAGAAAATAAGGATTCTTATGGGATCTGTACTAGAGGCCACTTGAAAGGAAAATTGGAAATGAAATTTCAAGGAGCAGAGCACTCAGGCTTTAGCATGGATATTGCTGATGGCTTTTAGCCAGATTTATGATGAAAACCTGGAAAACAATTCAGACAAAAAGATTTAGGAAATTTGCATTTTTGGAGAAAAGAAGCATATTTTTTGTTACCAGTGAAGGTACAGAGATTAACTCTATTAAAAAGAATCCAAACTTCTCACAGGGGAAGAAAAGCAAAAACAAATTGAGAACATTTCACTAGTCTGCAAGATCCTAACTATCAAAGATTCAAAGGTGCAAATATATAAACTTATTTAAAAGACTGTTTGAGAAGGAAACCTTACAGCATAACGCCCGCTATATTGACTGAGAATGTTTAATCAGGTGCCATTTAGGAAGGGGTTAGTTGTTTAAGGCTGAGCCACAGAAGTATAGGATAACTACAATTTAGGGTTTCTAGTATTACCTGCCCACACTGACTGGGGAAATCAGCCAGGGGAGAGAGCCATGAAATAAATGCAGCCTGGATTTATACTCTCTGAGAAGTTTGAGTTTAGGCTGAGATGGACATGGACCACACTCTTAATGAGCAACCAAGACTGGTGAGTGTAGGTTTCAAATCAGCTGGACCTGAAATTGCTGGCATATAGTCAGCAATCTGTTTAACACCTGCCCTATGGTATCATCTAGTAGAGACCAGTATTCTGTTTGCTTTCTCTGCCAACCTACATGAGCAAGGAAACACCTTGTCTTGGAGGTTTCCATGGCCTGGGATGAATTGATAGTATATAGCTGGAGAAAAGGGCACCTCAGAGAAGAACAGGACATAAAGCCAGGTGAAGAAAACTGTGACTTGCTGGCTTGCAAGATTTTAGAACCTAGAAACAAACCGCTCATTAAAATATACAGATCAAATTTTTTCTTTTATTTTCCTTTGTTTTATTTGAGATTGTTGGGACTTTTTCTATTTTTTTTCTCCTTTTAACTTGGTTTCCATCTTTCTCACTTTTTTACCCTTAATTTTTTTTCTTTTTCCTTCTTTTTTTTTCTCTTACTTTTATCTAAAACAATTAATTTTTTATTACTCTTCAAATGGATCCTCTAATTTACTTTTCTCTCATTCTATTTTCCACTGATTAATTTTACAAATTATACCTTTCTCATTTTCTTGTTTTCCAACTTCTCTATCTTTATCGGTAGAATCACTAAATTTTATGATTTGTCACATTGTAAATTCTATGCTATTACTGTTGAATATTGATTTGTTAGTGATGGCATAGTTTTTGCATTTAGTATTTACTGTATGGCAATATTTGGTTGTCTTGGTATTTGTATTATAATTATAGGTATCTTTCTGTAGTTAAGAGTGAAGCATTACTAGTTCTTAGGATAGGTCAATATCCAGATTGTCTTTGATGTTAACGTTGTTGCTGATTTCATCGCTATTGACAAAATGGCAGAGTTGGTACTAATAATTGGTTTCTTTGCATGAAAATATCTAGAATACATTTGCATTATTAACAATACTGTTACCCAATCCCAGAGAACTGGGTGCTGGGTGAAATAAATGGCAGCCTTTCCTCCCAAATATACAGAGGGCTTGGATTTTCAGACAGAGTGAAAGTACTAGAGGATGATCAATCCTCCTATCTGCCTAAAAATGGGGCAGTGAGGGCTAAAGGAAAAAGACAATAGAGACCTAATTTCAAAGTACACAGGGGACTGTGAGGTCAGTGCCAGAGTAGGCCAAGGCAATGACACTCTGAGCTAGCTACTGTTTATGCATACAAATGAAAGGTGGGGAGAGAATAATTGTTGACTCAGAGGGCAGCAGTAATCCTATGTCTATGAGGGTCTCAGGTTGATGGGGATCTTAAGTTGATGAGGATGGTGAGAAGGGCAAAGAATTCTTACGACAGGAGGTGGGATGAGATGGCAGGCTAATAAGGAATTTGTCCTTTCCCCACATGAAACATTTCTCTCTGTTTTAATACTACTCAGTTCTCAAAGAACCAAGATGTATTCATCTGGTAATCTTGCCCTTGAGTGTCATAGCATCATGAGATATTTGAGGCCTCAGCTTGTGAATGGAGGTACATGGAGTTATATTTCAACATACCATAGCCAGCTCTCAAGGAAGGCGACATTGGGCCTCAGATATCCATAATCATAATATAATTTTCCCCAAATTTTATTGAATGGCTTTCAACAGGAAAGTATCATATTTAGCCAGTTCAGTGTATCTCTAAAGAGTAGAAAATAACTACAGAGATCTTTATACTAAAAGTATCTATTACAAAGATATGCACTCAGTTCCCATGTACTTAATTCCATAAAACAAACACTACTGGACACAAATTTTAAGATAAATATCAACAAAAGTGAAATGGGGTACACAACACAGCACTGTCACAAAGAGACAGACCAACTACACAAAAAATCAACAAAGAAACTTTAGAATTGAACCAAATCTTTGAATAAATGAACCTAATATATACATACAGTGTTCTACTTAACAACAGCAGAATACATATTTTACTCCATAGCATATAAAACTGTCTCCTAACTACACCACATACTAACCAACAGACTTAAAGAAATGTAAAAAAGTCAAAATTATCCCATACATAATATCAATCATAGTTCAATAAAATTGGAAATCAATAACAAAAGAAACCATAGAAATCATGAAAATGCATGGACATTGAATAATATACTTTTCAATAAGTGATGGTCACAGTAGAGACCAAGATGACTGAATAGAGCAGGAGTCAATGCAAAGAGACTTGGAGAAGATCAGCTAAAAACATAGGTAATGAGAAGAAGGGGAGGGACTTACATCCTAATACAAAAACATCAATTTGAAAGAGGAGACTGGAAGGTCAAACAAAACATATGTATAGGAGTTTCAAAGAGGCAAGAGGCAGTCTGACAGTCCTGAGGGGCCTCACCCTGCAAGCAACAAAGGAAGTACCATTTGGGGAAATTCTCAAATAGCTGGCAGGATGCAAGTAGCAGAGACAAACTACACAGGATAGGCTTGGGGTACACATCCCTTCCCACATTAAACCCTTTAAAAACAGAGGATATTGCAGCCTAGCAGAATGTTTGCTGGCATATAACAGAGGTGAGTGACCAGGGAGCTTCTCCCTCCACTGACCTGCCCATATGTTCTCAGACTCTGAGTGCATAAACAAGCAACTGCTGCTTGTGTTGAGAGTCTTCTTTATTGGGCCCCAATCACACCTGAGTCACTGCTGGGAGCCTGCAGTTTTTCCCAATAAAACTGAAACATTCATTCAGGATGGAGCGCTAACATCAGTCTGGTTTGAATCCACACTCAGCACCCTGGGATCCCTTGTGCCTAAGTTGAGCTCTCACTGACTTCTCCAATCCCAGACCCACCAGAATGTGTCTGACCTCTAGGACCAGTCCCTGAGCAACCTGGTTTACATGAGTGTTCCATGCACCATGGGCACACAGAGCCTCCACTCTGAATTCAGGTAGAGCCCTGAACACACCCTGCCTGGCACAATGATCCAGTCCTCTACCTGGTTAAGCAGCAAGGATTAATGGCTGCGTATTCTACCTGATATCTGGACAGCCATAAAATACCACCCAGTGCTCTGCTCCCTCACTGGGCTTGTATATATCTGCCTATGGTAGTCCTGGGCTGATTCATTTCTCTTTTGAGCATCCACAGGACTGACAGTCAAGTCTGAAATTCCACAGGAGCCTCCATGTTCCAGGAGGCTGTCCCACAGACCCTGGAACACACATCTAATAACCAGCATCGAACCCCAACAAAGAGAAATCCACAACCTGAGCCTCAGAAACAAGGTCTCACATCTTCCCTGGTCCAGTCATCCAGCCCAAAGAACTGCTAGAAACAGGGGACTATGGAGAGAGGCTACCTTGAACTGAATGACTTGCATACAAGCTCACAGTTTACAAAGAGGGGCAAACTGAAGCGTGACTCATAAGATTAAAATACATATCTGGAAATGTGTAGGAGCTTTGCTCTTTCTCTCTGCATTAGTGGTATGTTTTTTATTTTTCTTTTTTTCTTTTTTTGCAGAGGTTATAGTTTAACCACGCATTTTCTTTTCCTTCATTTTAACCTTATTTTGACTGATGTTTTAATAGTCATTCCTTTTACTCTATCTCTCCCCCTTCTTTTCTCACTTTCTCCCTTTCAAATAGTTCAGTCCATATTTTTCTTACTTTCTTTTCCTCTAATTTCATCTCTACTCCCTGATATTCATCTTTCTCCTAGGTGTCCCTCTCTCATACTGCTATCTAATACCACTAGCTTCCCTTTGCTCCTTAACAGGACCTCCTATGTCAAGCTTACCACATTCTGAACATCTACCACTGCTTTTTTTTATTCATAATCAATTTCCTTTGCTCCTTTTGCTTCAAATTTTCACATTCATACCCTTAATCTTATGAATCTACAGATAGTTAAATATATCTTACTAGAGCTGAACACTGCTTTATGTTAAAAAAAAGGGGGGGGATGAATTACTCTATGGAGGGGATAATGACTGTATATAATTTTCTGCCTCATCTTACATTTTGTTTTATACCTATAAATCTTGTAGCTAGGGTGAAAAGTGACAAAGTATTAGTTATTACAGTTGTCATTTTCCATTTGTGTTTGATGCTATAGTTATTACTGATTGTACTAAGTTAGCCAAGGTGACATAGCTGTTGTGATCAATTGATGTTCCTCATGTGCCAACTCCTAGATTGTCTGGGACCAATAAACATTATTACAGTGCAGTACCAAAGACCTGGGTGACAAGCCAAACTGGCTGCAAACTCTCATCCCTAGTAAACATAAAAGGTAGGATCCCAGAGCAGACTTGAAGGCCAAAACCCAGCTACTCCTACAATGTAGCTCTGAAATGTAGAAATTACTTTTAAAGAAGTCTTGATACTAGGGATAAAACTACCCACATTAAGCTATTTACAAGCCTCAGTGTTGAAAACTAATCAACAAAAATAAAAGTAGGAAAAGAAAAAACACAGAATTAACATGCAATCTAAGACAACAGATAAACCTGACAAAAGCCAGAAGGCATTGAGGTGGAAGAACTCACAAGCTCCCCACCTAAATTTTTTGAAATGGTAGCAGCAGAAGAAACAAAGCAGATAATAAATTTCTGTATGAAGATAAATTGCACAGGCCATTAAACATTTAATGACTGTAATGAAGAAAATGACAAGTGAATCTAAAGTCAATACAGATAAAAAAAAATAGGGGAGCATAGGGAAACCATGAGTGCCCAATATAAGAAAGAACTGGATGCCATAAAACAGATACAAACAGATAAGCCTTGAAACATAATGTCCAGTTTGAATGCAAACTGTTTCTCCAGATAGGGTAAATTTTATAAGGCGAAAGAAAACTTAAAGTCTCAGAAATCATCTCCTCTTGAGAGATTCTTCCATCCACAGTAAAGAAAAATGTCAATGTCATGAGGACAGAAAAGAAAGGAAAAGGAGAATCAGGAAGAGGACAAGAGTTAGCAGCAGTCTGATTATGATAAATAGTAATCATAGGTGTTATTTAGCTGCATAAAACAGATTTCAAAGA